TGATCTGCAGATGCACGAGAGGCAAAATTTCAGACTTTTAGTAAAAATTATGAAAAGAAAAAAAAAGTATGCAATACTATACTGACGTCTGATTTCGAATAAAGTTAGTGACGCATTTGCTTCGAAATAAGTGATTTATGGATTTTTAAACTCCACTCTTTTTTTCATGACGATAAAATATCATCGGGAAAATATTTTTCTCGCATGACATATTGTGTAACCATTAATAATTTTAAAGGATTTTAAATTCCCACGCTTGAAGATCTTTAAGAGACTTCATTACATCGTACACTTTTATTTACGTAAGATGATAGCAAAATTCTTTGAAAAACTTTCAAACAATTATCTTGAAATTCTTGATGATAATGAAGACTTTAATGTGATTATTAAAGTTGATGAACCTTTAAACTCAAAAATATACAAAGCGCATTCAGTTGTTTTAAAATATAGATCTTTATATTTTCGCAATGAATTAGCGAAGGTTGGCACAAATTATAATAATTTTAAAACAATTAACTTAAAGAATATTTCTGTCCAACAATTTGAAATTATTATCAAGTAAGTTGATTTTATTATTACGATACGTGTTATTCTGCAAGAAATGTTCTAAAATTAAATTTTATATAAAGATATATCTATGGAGGAATTATTTTACTTGAACAATATGATGCATCATTTATTTTTGAGCTTATGCTTGTTGCTTACGAATTTCTTCTTGATGAATTGGCCAAATACCTTGAAACTTACTTAATTGATGTTGAAGTTCGTTGGCTTCGTTTACATTTTAATCGCATCTACAACAAAAGTTTTCAGAATGATAAACTTCAAAAATTACAAGAATGGTGCAATGATATTCTAGTAAATTATCCTAGTAAGGTTTTTGATTCAAAAGATTTTATCTCGCTTCAAGAAAATGCTTTAATTTCGCTGATTATACGAGATGATTTACAAATGAAAGAAGTAAAAATTTGGAATCATATTATCGAATGGGGAATTGCTCAAAATCCTGGATTACCATCTGATTCTAAAACTTGGTCTCATGAGAATTTTCTAGCTTTAAAGACTACTTTACGAAATTGCTTACCTCTTGTCCGTTATTTTCAAATGTCTGCCGACGAAATTATCGACAACGTACGACCATATCAACAAATCCTGGATAAAGATCTTTGGGATGATATATCAACAAAGTTTATGTCACCAAATCGACCTATAAAATCGACAATCCTTCCACCTCGTCAAATTTTAATACAACAAATACCACCAAGAGTGACTCCTCATGAAATTCCAAGACAAACGTCGCCACCTAAAGATATTAAATCTTTTTCAGCCGTTATCAATGAAGCACAGGCAGCTAAAATTTCTTCATGGATTGATGAAAATGCTTATTCTATAGCAAATAATCCATACAAGTTTAAGTTACTTCTCCGTGGAACCAGAGATGGTTTTACACCGGAGTCATTTTGGAAATTATGCAATGGACAAAAAAATGTTGTTGTAGTCATGAAAGTTCAAGGTACTAGTGAAATTCTTGGCGGATATAATCCTATTGGTTGGAAAAGATCAAATGAAAAAAATTGTTATGTGGAATGCGACAAGAGCTTTATTTTTTCATTAAAGAATGGTAATAAAAATTCTATATGCAGTCGTGTAAACAAACCAGCAACTGCAATTTCGTGTAGAGTTACCGGTGGTCCAGTTTTCGGTAAAGATCTTGGCATGTTTGGTACTTTCAATAAAGGTAAATCATGTATATGTAGAAAAAAGTCTTATGAAATTTCACTTAGAAACAAGAATGGATTTTCGGTGGAGGAATATGAAGTATTTCGAATCATAAAAAAATAGTCCTAAAAATGAATTAATGCTTCAATTATTTTATTTGCGAGTTTTTAAATTCTTTTCTGTATTAATCGTTATAATTTTAAGTTGTATTCGATTAATTTGTTATTCTGCTTTATTTGTTCTTTATTAAAATAATATAAATTCAATTAAAGTACGTGTTCTGCGTCATTTTACAATTTAAAGTCATTCTTAAATTCTGAAACGCCGTCATATGGGCTAATCGGGCTCATTTAAGTGATATTTGAGAGTGATCATCCAGATTTGTACAGCAAACTGTGTCAATCAGATTTATTTACGTACGTGATAATCAAGATTTTGACGTATACAAAATATCCAAACAATCGTTCTTTCTAGAAAAAAAAATCATTTCTTCTATCCTATCAAAAAACTCGAAAAACGCAAAATTGTAATCTGTGCTCGGTTTGCCGATCACGTGACGATGCTTGCAGAACATCTAATTACCTACGTAAGTTTATGCACATTCGCCTCCACATGACAAATATACATAAATATATGTCTTAAGATTTTTGAATGTTGCTTTTATACTTTTTGCCGTCTTTTTTCCCACTTTGTGTTTTTTTTAATACCAAAATTTTACAGATCTTTAAAAATTTTACATATGTAAATTAAAATTATTATACTTAATTTTAAAAACTTATGTATTTTATTATTATTTTTATGAATAAAAAAGCGAATCAAACGCATACTTTATTACTTATGGGATCTTAAAGCTTATCAAACATATATAAGCATACTTTGAAATTAAATCATAAATTTTTTCATATAATTAATTTTATATTTGATTCATCTATTTGGTCAGTTTTCTTTTAAAGCTTGTTGAAAATCGTGTGCTTGCCTTTTTTGCCATTTTTTACGTGAAGGCATAATAAACCGGCTTGGATCTTCTTGTGTTTCAGTTTCGTATATATTATTATATGTGCTACTACTTGGTCTTCCTTGTTGTAGTTTTTTAAGTCCATGGTTTGGTCCTTTTCTGCGCCTAGCAGCCGCAGTGACTTGAACTTTAATCCTTTTGCCACCACGTTGGTAACTTTTACCATTAACTCGACCAGCATTCCAATTACAAGTTTGGAAAAAAGAAGAAATTGCTGGCCAGATGTGAGTATCTTGTATGGATCGATGTTGTATGTATACTTTAACAAACTTGCATATGCTTTGGTCTAGTATAGGATCATTTTCTTCGAGGAGATTTTGAAGATCATTACAAAACCAATGGAATTCATCCATGGCTAATTGATGAAGGTCATCGTTATCTTTACTTGTGTCACTACTGTTATCATATTGACTATTTTCTTCAGCGTCACTTATATTTTGATTACTTAAAAATTGCGAGGATACTAAAGATGTAGTTTCAGGAAGTATATTCTTTTCACTTGAATCATTAAAATCAGTTTCATAATTTACAGGTATATTCTTTTCACTTGAATCAGTTTCATAATCTATGCTAACAATATCATCATTTAAATTATTATCAATACTCATTATAGATCCAGTAGATTCAGTACGTATAAGTTTTTCTGATTCGAACTGTGCTTGGTGAAGATCAGCGTAAAAGTTAAGCCCTTGACATTTCTCACCTAAAGCAAGATAAGCATAATGATACTGACTACTTGCTGACATCGTGGGTATTTGGTTCAAGCTGCATATGTGGTAATAAGTTGCAATTGAAGATTGGTGTCTGCATGGTGCTCCTGTCGAATTACACTCGCATATTCCAAGCTTCATATCTACCAGATACCACATATCTGGATTTTTATTGCTTTTATGTTTGAACACCATCGGATCAAGGTTTACAATTTTAATATCATCTTTAGACCCGATTTGCTAGCCAGAAAGACAAAAACGTAGTGCAATAAAATTATCTAACCGATTGTGGGCTACAGCTAGTAACTTGCGAGTATAATATAGATCCATTGAATTAATAATGAAATGAAAAATTTGCACCACATTGAATGCTTGTATACGCTCAAAAATAATATCCTTTATGATTCGTATCCCAGCTTCAGCAAGATTGTTAGTATTATTATCACGGACTGGTAATTGCTGACGAAATGAGATGGCCTATTCCTTGCGACGATTCCACACAATTTTAAAGTGCTTCTGAAAGTTAGAATATTTTAGATATGTATCACTTGTTGTAAGTTTTATATATTCTATTTCAAGTATAACCTCATTTTTTGCAAAGACCATTTTTTTTAGATATTCAATAAGGACAATATGATCGTTCATGTGAATACCATGTTTTCCCTCCCATAGCCATTTCCACATTGCCTGAAGAAAATGAAAAATACACAATAACATGGTTGTCTTTTCCCAGGCGCAGTGCAATGCTTTCCTTTCCGCACTAGAGTCATCAGTCATTATAACTTGTGGACCAACAATAGGCCCACGTCCACCAAATGCATCTGACAGTATTATAGTTTTTAGTGCATCCAAAGCCCTTGTGAGAGTGGATGCAGTTTCGTCTGATGTTAGTATTACTGCAAGAGGTAAACCACCAATAGGTGTACTTGTTGAAATAATAGTTAACGGGGTATTGAGAGCATCAAGACCGGATGTGGTATTTACATAGATTAATTCACCAGCCTGCTGCAGTGAATGACAGCGTTTCATAAGATTTGTTACAATGGCCAATATAAATAGTTGTCCTAAATTATTGTTTACTGGTGCAATATAGGGTTGCATCCAAGCAATTCCTTTACTACTAGCATTAAATTCTTTCAATTCCTCAGCTAAACGTAAAAACATTTCTTTTCCATTTTTTGGACCAACAGAACTGTCAAGAAACTTCTGATGAAGATTGTAAATATCATGCTTACACGGACATATTGCTCTATCAGCCAGTATCACCTCGTCATTATCATATTTCAACTAAATTTTCTCTAGGTATGTATTGTATGCACTTGCAGGACTATGCCCCGCATCAAAGAGTTTGAAGAATATTTCTTTTGTATTACTAGATACAGAACGGAAGCTTATAGTGTGACTTGATGCAAGTGGATGGTTATGATGAAATAGCAGCGAAACTATGCATGGATGAGTATCATGTTTACTTTGAACTTTTATTTTAAGTGTCGCAGGGCAGTTAGTATCTTGTAAACGTGTGCTAACTTTAGTTTTCTCTTTCTTATCCATTTCATTTAGTTCGTTAACGGCATTATTTTTCCCTTTTTGACCTTGTTTTAATTTTACAGCATGGCTGTGAATACAATGAAAACGTTTGGAAAGAAGGTAACGGATGCCTTTTATAATCCTTCCTTGAGTTTCTCGCATGGTTATCTTATGCAAATCAGAAAACTTGTCGAGCCATGCTTGGGCATTATCAGCAGTAGAGATATTTATACGAAACTCTGCTTCAAATAGTTCCATATATGCACCCAAAAAATTATATGCTTGAATTTTTTTGAATAAACTGACAATATAATCATAATCTTAAGGTAGTGTATGCCACAAAATAGTATGATCAGTTTGTTGAATTTTTGCCTTGTCAGTATTTAATATCAAGTTTAAATCCATTAGTGTGTTTTTGTAAGTTAAAAGGGCTATAGTATGGTTGCAACATTCAAGAGATGTTAAGAGAATTGTTATTAAATTTAGGTGCCAATTGCGAACAAGAAGAATAACTTGTGTTAAATACTCTTTTATAAAGAGTTAACCGAATTATTATGAGGTAGGATATGAATTATTAAATGTTTCATAATGTAATTCAAGTTTTTACATACAATCTTAATCACAATATTTTAATTACTATTCAAAATTAGAAAATTGAACCAATTGAAATTTTATATCGTACATAGTAAACCTCAAAAGTATAAGAAATCTGTTGATATTACGTCAAACTGATCTCATTCCTTCTACCTGATTATTAAAACAAAAGGTGTATTTTTTTTTTTTTTTGTATTTTATATTACATGATTCATGCTATAATTTATGCCATTTTACATTAAACTTCAGACTATTTTTAGCTGCGCTTATTTAATGACACTATTGTATTACGAAATACTGACAAGGCAAAAATTCAACAAACTGATCATACTATTTTGTGGCATACACTACCTTA